CCCCCGGGATACTGCCATGGCTTGCTCGTTTCTCTCTGCCTCTGAGCCTCTGCTCAAAGGTCCTTGCATTAAAAGAAAAACCCCTCCCTGACCATCTTTTCTAAAAGAGCAACCTCCCTCCCACCCTGGCATTTCACTGTCTCTTTATTTTACTTCATTTTTTTATCCTCTGCATTTACCACAGTCTGTCATCAGTTTGTGTTTCGCCACTAACATGTAAATTAAAGGATTTGGGTGGACTTGGTCTTGGTCACTGCAGTGCCTGGAATGGTACTCAGCACACAGCAGGGCTTAATAAAGGTCATTAAAGACTCTGTGGTTCCTGGACTTGGATGTCTGTTTCCTTTACCAAGTTAGGGAAGTTTTCTGTCATTATGATTTCCAATAAGTTTTCAGTTTCTCCCTCCCTCCCCCCTTTCTTCTTCTGGCACCCCCATGATGTGCATATTGCTTGAAGTTGTCCCAGAGGCTCCTTATGTTATCCTTGTATTTTTTTATTCTTTTTTCTTTTTGCTGTCCTTATTGGGTGTGTTTTGCTTCCTTATATTCCAAATCTCTGATTTGATTCTCAGTTTCATCTACTCTACTGTTGATTCCCTGTAAATTTTTCTCTATTTCGGTTAGTGTATCCTTCATTTCTGACTGGTTCTTTTTTATGCTCTTGAGGTAAAGGAATTAAGAAATACAAATTGGTTGTTACAGAATAGTCATGGTGATGTAAAGTACATTGTAGGGAATGTAGTTAATATTCTAATAACTAGGCATGGTGCTGGATAGGTGTGGGATATATTGGGGTGAGCACTTATTAAGTTATGTAATGTCTGGTCACTGGCTGTATACCTGCAACTAATATAATGATGTATGTCAACTGTAATTGAAAATAAAAAATGATAAATTAAAAAATAAAAAATTAAATAAATGGGGAGAGAAAGATTATTAAAGAAATGAGAGACTGAGTGAATGCTTCGTTTTGCTGTGCTGTCCCAGTCTTCCTTGTTCTGGTATCTGAAGGGCTTGGAAGCAGTTAGACATGTTACACCAGGACAGAAGCAAATAGAAAGATCATGGTAGAGAAAAAATAAACCTTCCTAAGTGCCTGATAATTTCTCAGTGAAGAATCTGTTGAGGAAGTGAAATATGGCTGTCAACGGGAAGTTTTATGCTCTGTGATTGATTACTCCAGTAACCCCCATTCTGCCTTCACAGATACCAGTGGATGAATAAGAGTTTGCTGCAGGAAGAAAGAGGCCCCTGAGCTGAGGATAAGGACCTTTAATCACCTTTCTTCTTTTCTTCTACTTGGGAGCTCCAAGGGCTGCATATACATAGTTGCTTCCTTCGAAGAATAGTATTAACTGGCAGGGTTAGAATGCCCCCAGCAATTGTTAAAGATGTTTCTTTAGATGGAAGGTGCTCTGCACCTTGAGTTGTTAGCCTATTTTGGCAACAAAATTTGGCATATGGTTTGCTCTTCTTTAGTCCCAGTGGTGGTGGTAACATTTTCTGTTTCAGGGCTGGCTGTGTGCAGTTGTATGAGACAAAGCTCCTACTACAGCCATGAGCTCCAGGGGTGTTCACAGTGTTTGCTGCTGGTTTTCCCAAGGATTTTGCACAATGATAAACATAGTGGGGCATTCTCTTCCCCTGGCCCAAACATGTGCACCTACACCATGGATGAGCAGACTCTCCGTAGAGCATCTGCCCTTCTCACAGACCCAGTCTAAGCCCCTTAGAAAGCTGGAGATAGTTACTTCCAAGCATCCTGTGTGCTAGAGAGCAGAAAATCTGATGTGGAACATTTGTGTCTTTTGCTATAGGAAAATGCAAAGAAGCTAGTAGAGTTAATTAATTCTGAGACAGACAATAGAGCGGGGCCCCAGGCAGGGTCATTCAAGAGACACAACTTTTTCTTTGGAGCTTTTAGCAGAAGCAGCTATGTTCTGAGCCCTCATAACTTCTGAAGCTTTTCTTGGTCAACTATTTTTCTCTGCTCTGAGGTCAGTTAGAGAAGGTACCCAACTTTCCAGAACCTTCCAAAAAGCATTTTTATCAGAAAGGGAGCTCCTTGCCCATGGCTGGGCTTAGTGAAGCCTTTTGGGGGCCCAGCATATGAATCTGTGGATCCAACTCATCAGGACATGTGTGTGAGAAGGGAAAACACTTCCACAAGGAAAAATGCCTTTAGTGGCCTTACTTCTGGCACTATGCTTCTATTCACCTCCTAAATGGATATGACTTCTCTAACACTATAGAATACTATTTTCACAAACTCATTTCTACCTCCTCCCAGTAGATAATTATGTTAATGAAAAGGGGCAACCCTGGGGGGGGGAGTTTTGGTTTTAATGTGGGGTAACCTGTGAGCTGGGGGAACAGGCAACAACAGCATTTTCGTAACGATCTCTTGCAAGTATCCACATTCTGAAATTTAAAACAAAAGCTACTACTGGCCAGTGCTGTTAGCTAATTGTCAAACAACAGAGAAACACTGCAGCCAGAAAAATCCTCACTGAGTTTGGGCCACTGATTTCTCTGGCAGCAAATGAAAGCTTTGGCTGTTGCCCCCGAGGACTGGCTGAGCAAGCCAGGTCTGAGCCCACTGCATGTTGTCCCCCCCCCATCTCCACTGTGGGCACAGCATGTGTGTGTGTGGGAGGGGAGGTGTAGGAACCCTAACTCACAATTTCAGGCAGCTGCACACCTCACCCAGGGATACCACACCAGCGTAATTCATCTTACACCTCACAGTCAGGGTGATCCCAGCCTCAATGGATAACAATTTGGAGGCATTGTTTACAAGTCAATTTCCCCTTCTAAATAGGCTGTTATAAGAGTGGACCCTTCTGCTTGTCTAGGCTGGGCCCACCTGTCACTGGGACTTCCTAGCCAGTGGTCACACTGTATTGATCTTTTTAATCCCCCTCTCTTTGAAACACAGAGCCAGCTGATGTGGAGTTCCTCAAAAGAAAGGCTCTCCCACCGCCCCTACCTCTACAGGTAGCTGAGTATCCGGGGCTAATTCCCCACTAAAAAGTCTTAATTGGCTTATGGGGAGCCTGAAAGATCTCCCTTGTGTTTACAAGGTGAAAGGAAATGATGGATCACAAACTCCCTAGTCTGTCTTTATCCAATTCTTGGTGGAAATCAGGTGTATTTTATTTTTTTAATTGTTTTTGAAACAGGACTGTAGGGTTTGAAAGTAGGTGGGGATAGTGTTTCACTTTAGTAGTTGACCGGCCAGGGGAAGGAAAGAAAGGCCCAAGAGAGACACCAACATTAGGCAAGAAACTCGGTGACTTAGTTTTTATTTACACAAAACATCTGCAGTACAAAAATGTAAACTTTGATAGCTCATTATAATAGAATAAACTCTTTATGTACAAAAATACATTTTCATATGAATGAAGCATCTTGAATAAATTAAAGTACTCTCTAGCCCAGTGCCTGAATAGCTAGGCAAGAGTCTGGGGTTCTTCCTAGACCAAGCCTGCAGTGGTGGGGGTCGGGATCCATAATGCATGAAGTCCACTCCTTGTCTCTCCTTTTTAAGCCTTTTCATTGTATTGTCAGCCGGCTCAAACCGAATTTTCATGCTCGTTTTTCTTCATTAGAGTTCTACAAATTGTAAAATTGACTTTTCACCTCGTCTTCAGGGGCTGATCTGTCCCTTTTCTAAATCACACTGAAGTAGTGGCTGGGGTCAGCTCTGAGCCTGCCACAAAGGAGGTTTTGTGGAGTTCAGAAAGTGCAAAAGGAAAGGCTGTCTAGGGGCGGGCAGGAAGGGCCTGGGGATGAGGGCTGGAGAAACAGACCAAGGCGCAGCCATGGCGAGGGTGCAGCGACCTAACAAGCGGCTCAGGTATCCCCCATCCCTTTAAAGCTCCCGCTTCCTCCCTCCGCCTAGACTGGGGATCCGGAGGCCGAGGCCACAGCTGGGGCTCCTTCTACCACTGCCTGTTGCCTGGGTGAGGGGGAAGGTAATAGTGTCCAAAAAGGACCTAATGGTAAGGGATGAAACAGGGCGTTGTATGAAGCAAGTCTTTGGGTAGGCCGGGGAAGGAGAAAAGGGTGTCGCCGAGACTGTAGGAGAAGTCTTCGGAGGTAGCAGGGCTACTGGGGTCAGAGAGTGGTGAGGAGGAAGCGGCGCACGGGGAGGTGGCAGCACCGGAGCCCCAAGACTCGGCGTCGCTGGCGGGGCTCGGGGG